TTGGTTTGCAGTTTGAGATGATAGGAAAGGAGGGAGTGACACAGCACCAACCATCCCCAGCAACTCCAAGCATTAAGCTATAGACAAAGCCATTGCTTTCGGTGCCTGAGGGCTGCAGAGCTGGTGGTGAAGAATGGAGAATGCCCAGAATTAGGGATGAAAAGGAGAGTAATTGTGTGGCTTTCATACCACTTGGGCAGCCTTCAAAGTCCATTTTAGAACAGATGGAACTAGTGGGAATTAGTGGGAACTAAACCAGTATTCTGCCCACCTCCTGACACCCAGGCACATTCAAAAAATAACTAAGTGCTTTACCACTCTCAAAGATCATTTTCGATTTCTCTGTCTTTGATTAATTACAAACTGTATTTTACTCCCATCCATCTGGCACATCTCAAAACGTATCAACAGAAAGATACTAGAAATTCATAAGTTTGCTTTGCTGTTTCTCTGTATAATCGCACTAACATCCTTATCAGCCTCAGAGGTCAGCAAGTTTAAAGGTGTTTAGATGGGCTGTCCATTGCCAGTCACCCTTAGTGCCAAAAAATAGTCTTGGGTGCATTTGATTCGAAGGACAACAGAGGCCATACACAGCTGGTACAGGCTGAGGACCCTGGCTGATCCTCACTCTTCTCAGCAATGGGGCCATTCATCCTTTTGCCCAGCCTCGCTTGGTAGCATTCGGAAGCTGCTCTATTTGTTACGTACCTGCAGAGCTGGAGACCAAAGTTCAATTACCCTTAAATTCTTATCAGGATCTTTCACTCCTGCCAGTGCTGTCATGGAAATGTAATGCATGTCCTGCCTCAAGGTTTTGGTTCATTTATAATAGAAATCATCTGGCCCCTCTGAAGGAAAATGCAATCCATACCCACTGGGAGACAGCTGAAAACATAATTTATCTGGATTCCAGCTGCATTCTCATCACAAAGCTTTTGTGCAGTATTCATGCACGGATCTGCACAAAAAGGGAGTCTGAAAACAGGAAGGTTTTCTGTAGTGTTGAACTGTTTGCTCACACTGATTCCAGAAGGTACTCCAGGCACTCAGCATCTCTGAAAATGGGCTCACTCTCTCAATTCTAATAGCTGAAACAGGAAAAACCTCTCAAAGGAAAAAACTAGTAACAATATTTCTACTTCTTCTGTTGGCAAATTACAACCAGAATTGGCCAACATGCTGCAACAAGTCTGACCTTCCTGCTGGAAGGACTGACAGCATTGAGCTTCCCGATGCCTCCCATAGCACAGAGCTCTGTGCATCCCTGACCCTCACTCATTTCAGGTCATCTGGAGATGCCCAAGGCCAGGTAGGATGGGAACTTGGGCAGCCTGGTGCAGTGGGGACAACCAGTCCAGAGCAGGGGCTGGAACTCAGTGATATTTTAAGGTCTGTACCAACCCAAGCATTCTGTGCTTCTATAACCCTGTGTACTAAGCAGTTCTGAAAAGGAACAAGACCCAGGCAGCAACTTTGGTCACAAACTCCGACACAAAGACAGAACTCCAGACTTTGAGCTCTGTTATTGCTTACATTTATTTAATCCTTCTCTCCTCAAACTTCTGAAGCACCTGAGAAAACCAATCCATGCACTTTTTAATGCAGACATAATTCCTTTGGACTGATGAGTACTGTTATTCACAAGACTTCTCCCCATGTCAAAACACTGATGCTGCCTCAATCCAGTGCAGGCATTTGTAGCTTCTCAAGATGAAAGGTCAAAGGATGTGTCTGAGAAATACCCTGCAAGCTAGAGAATGCTGGACATCACCGTCAGGAAACAGTCACGTGAAAAGGAGTTCCTGTTCTACCTTGAAGTGCATCTTTTGCTTTTGTAAAAATATTGTCACACACTTTTCATTTTTCCTCTTTGTCAGCTTTGCTGCAGTGAAAAATTTCCACAGAGCTTTGCTCATGGTTCTCCTGGGTAGCAGCCAGTTTAATCTATAAAATAACTGACAAGAACAACAGATGTGTTTGTCTCTGTCTGTAGAATTTAAACAGCATGAGGTTTGAACAGTACATAGTACATTAAACTGTGTTCACATAGTATCTACTCAGACCTTACAACCTTGGCTTAAAGGCCAAACCCATTTGTTTCTCCAAGACTCCTTTGTTTGCTGTTTACTGTGATTAGAGGGGATTCACATACCGTGCACTGTATCACTGGGTGATGGGAAAAGCAGCTTCAGTCTCCTTGTCAAAGCACAAATGGGATGAAGGATGGTCTTGGTGCAGATAGACACTGCTTTCCAAGCTCATCTAAACCTTACATATCACATGAATTGTTTTGCATCATCTCTCAAAGGATCAGAGTGGCTCACGCACTGCTCAGAGCCTGGCCAGCCAAAAGCAATACCAGTGAGATACAGAAAAACCCTTTAAACTGGGGATCCAGTTCTCCAGCACACAGCAGCTGACAGAAAGACCTCAGTCCTGGCTTATCTGCCTTCTTCCAACTGGTGTATGTTGCTCACATCCTAGCTCTTTCCACCAGCATGCTCAGCAGTCAACAATTCACCCCATTTTACCCTACTCTTATCTCTGAACTACAGTTTCCAGTCTCTCATAAAAAGCTTCCTAGACGTCCTCAGGATCTCACTTTGGCAAAGTTTAATCAAGGATTATCCACACAATTTGAACTTTGGAGGACTGGAGAGGCTTTTGTCTCCAGAGGCCAACTGCCCATCATTCAGCTCAACAGCTCACAAGCACAACCTTTTGTTTTTCTCTTCTTCTCTGACTTGCAAGTAAGACCATGCGCGTCTCAAGTGAGAAATGATTATTTGATTTAGGGTTATAAGCAGCTCAGTTATTCTATGTGCATGTTGCATCTTTTTCCTCAACGATGATTAATGTTATTCTTACCACAGGGTTACACCAGAAGGAAACATTTGCACAACAGCAATTTTTAACACTTTCTTCTGATTGATTTATGTGCTTATTTGGTTTTGACTTTTTTGGGCAACCGCAAACGATGCCTTTAGTTTTCAGAGGGTGTACTGACCAAGTAATTTATGACTGGCTGAAAGCAAGTTTATTGAGGGAAGATTATTTATCACTTGACCGTAACTGAGTGGGATAGATTGAATGAACAAGTTTGCAAAAACTAAGTGTAAAGTCAGCATTTAAAGTATGCAAAAGAACAAATCATGCACACGCAAAACCAAATAAAGTTAAAATAAATGTTAAAAACCCAACAAGTGGATTAAATAAAATAGCTTAATCCTGTCTGTGTGCTACAGGTAGACAGGAGAAATCACGCTTGTAGGAAGACAGAGCTACTGAAATAAAGTATTGATTTTCTGCTGAGGGAACTGTAAGTATAAAAGGACAATTAATTTTTAAATGAAGGTAGTGGTTATCTTATTGCTCTCTGGATATAGAAAGAACCTCATCTGTCCATATCAATCTACAACATTTCACTTTGTGCTCCAAGGCAGCGAGTTTTTAATCGAAACTAGATTGTTAAGAACATTAGACTATGATTAAGCGTCCAGACTCCTCTTTTATAGATTTGAACTTCAAACTGAGGGCAAGTTCATCTGACACACACCAAATACATCCCTGAAACAGTGCTTCAGCTTCTATCACTTGGGATTTGGGGTCAGCGTTGGCTCATTCTTCTCTCCTGCCTTCACATTCTAACTCTTAAAGCTTTTCCACAGGAACAAATCAGAGTTGTCGCCTCCACAGGCACCCTGAAAGCAATCAGGCAAGCTCCCTATTTTAATGCCTCACCATTTTAATTGCCACAACATCCTGTCTTCCAGCTTGGATAAATATCTTTCTCTTTCTCCAAAAAAGATGAGAGATCAGCTCCTGCTTCTTCCTTTAAATCTCTCCCTTTCCCACCAGACATGCACAACTCTGTTCTTTCAGGAACCACAACAGCCTCTCACCAGCTCTTCCCACCTTCTTCTCCATTTAAGCTGGTCTTCACACACCTCTGGTCACTTGATGAGCACCACCCAACTCCTGCCACGTGTCCCCTCACAAACAGGCAAGGAATTTTGCAGTGACTACAGAATCACAGAATCATTAAGGTTGGAAAAGACCACTGAGATCATTTAGTCCAGCTGTTAACTCATTACCACCATGCCCACTGCACCACATCTGCTAACTGACCTCACTATGCTGGTGCTCACAGCGCTGGGTGGCTGAGTTCCAGCTGTTACCTTCCCAAGCTACCTACTGCCTTCACATCTCAACTCTGAGCCCCTCTGAGCAGCTGCTGCCATTTGGGCCCGTGCTGACAGACACCTTAGTGTGACACATATGGTCCATGGCAAAGTCCCACTGCTTCTACAGCAACAAACAGAAGCAAGGCTTTCAGCAACCAGCAAGATGGCGAGTGGTGCTGCTGAGCAGATCAGGGCTATCCACTCCAGTTGCTGCTGTGACAAATACTTGAGAGCAGATCCAGACCCTCATTCTCTGGTCTAATAAGGACTGTCAGCATCAGAGCACCAAGCTCCCCCAGGAGAAGAATCAAGTTTCTCGACCCTTTGGTTGGTTCCAGTGGGGGGAAAGTGTTTCAGAATCCCAATGTTGACCTCTTTGTCCCACACTCCAGGCAATAAGAAATGTCTAAGTTAACAAAAGTGAGCAGTGAGATGGGTTTCTCATCCAACAACTGTCAAAACTATTGCATGTAAAAAAGAATAGCACCCCAGATTAGACTGAAAAATCAGAAGTAGTAGCCTTCAAAGTGTTGCTACATCAGGTTGGATCAGCCACGTTATTTTTAAGCTGCTGAAATGTTTCCCTTCACTTTTTGTCCTTTTAAAAAGAAAAAGAAAAATTCTAAAAAACTAGAGACGGGCACCACTGGTTCGTCTTTTGCTGATAAAAAGTGTGTGTTTTGCTCAAAGAAACAGCCTAATTCCGGGCTCAAACACTGCTGTCGTTTTGGATCAGGTGTTCTTCTCGGGAGTTTCTGACAGAGATCCATCTCACATCTGACTGTACCCAATTGCTTCAGGCTGTCAGAGAAGTGCATCCCTACTGCTTAACGACTGTAACGCCCACATCCTGCCTGATGAGCAATTGCCAATTATTAATTTTTTTATTTTTTTATTTTTTTTCCCTTCAGAGCACAGCAGTGGTAAGAACTGCTTCCAGGTCTGGGTGGACACGAACCTGAACAGAGCCTGAAGGCGTTAAAGCCAAGCTGACCAACAAAACTTTTAAAATATGACTACAGTGAGGATTTTAGCTCCACGATGCTGCCATGCCGGGATGTGACAGGCTTCCTACCCAGGTCTGGAAGGTAGGAATCTGCTTGCATGTATGAAATAGCGTTGTTTCCCTTCCCTTTGCACATACGTTACTTTGGAAAAGGAGCAGAGGATTTTTTTGTGTTTTGAAATGCGTTCTATGGGTTGAGATGAGTGGAAACAGAATTAACCAGCATAGGAACTGGTTTAGACAAGCTCCCTGTAATCCATGTGCATTATGACTTTGTCTTTAAAGTGACAGCGCCAACATTTGCAGCTCTGGGGGAAAGGAAACATCTTTCACAGCACTGCGCCTAGATAAGAATGAAGGTGAAATTCAGCCAGCCTGCTCAGCACAAGCGTTGCACAGCACTCATAACAGAGGATGCCAACCCATCTCTGTCTGCTGGTGCATACAAAGTCATAGAAAAATGAATATGTGTGGCAGTCCAGGAAAAGAGCACTGGGAAACAAAAGAGCTGAGAACAAAGGATGAGGGTGAATTCTCCTTGAGGGACATGAGTTCTCCATCCCTGCCACACTGCCCACAGACCACACGGGAATGATTTCTGATGGCAAGAACAGTCAGACAAGAAGCAGACAATTCCATGGCCACCGCCAAGAGTTTACCTGGGATGTTATTAAACACCTGGGATTTACAGAAGAGCAGGCACTCATAAGGCTGCTAAGCTGCCTAATAAATTGGAACCAGGAAATGCTCTCATTCATTTGATGGCTTTAAAAAAGCCTAAAAACTGAATGGTTTTCAACAAATCCAAAGAAATTTAAAAGGTACTATTCTACAGCTGAGTGCTCACAGCCCACAAAAAGTCGTTTCCCAAAGTTCAGCTATTCAGAGAAAACCTGATCAGTCAAGCGTGAACGTTTATAATCATTTCTGCTCAACTTTTTGTTTTCTCCCCACGCATACACCATCAGAATCATCAAGGAAATGAAAACTGAGGCAGGGGGCTGGGAAATAAGCAGAATAAGTTTTCTATATATTAGAGGGATGGAAGAGCACAGGAGTACCAGCAGACAGGCCCAGCCCCAAGAAATATGTTTTCCATTACTTAGTGCAGAGTAACTGTCACATGGCAGGAACCTTATGTTTATGGGGAGAACAGAAGGAAGGGAGACACGTGATTGGTCTAACCTCAAGAACACAGTAATCTGGAAAAAAAGATCCTTCTGTCCCATGGAAAATATTGACTGCTTTGCAAAACATATCAATTTAAATCTGAAAAAAAATACATTAGATTCAAGCTGTCACCATAATACGCTGTGAACTGTATATGTGAACTGTAGCTCGAATGCCATATGCTTTCACTCTGATCTCTAGGTGCCAAGAGTATCCTTTTCACAAAGTCACAGAATGACCTGGGTTGGAAGGGACCTCAAAGATCACCCAGTTCCAACCCCCTCCATGGGCTGGAAGTTCCCATCAGCTCAAGCTGCCCAGCGCCCATCCAACCTGGCCTTGAGCACCTCCAGGGACGGCGCACCCACAAAACCCTCTCTCCTTTTTGGTAGGGGTAAGACACTGCTCCAGTGTTTCACAGGAAACATCACCCAGCTTCAGTTCCATAGGTAATGAGATTCTGTGATGGAATTTGAAAAGAAACACTCGAGAGGTTTGATTTTCTGATGACATCTCAGAACACTTACTGAGTAAATTATTAACATTTTAAGAGGCGGCATATTTAGTTGGAAATACAGATTCTCAAAGGTCAATCCTGATGGAAACTTCCTGGTAGTTCTGATATTCCCAGGGGTTAACTTAGTGTGAAATAATAGCACAGCCAGTAAGCCAGGAGGGAAAAATCAAATCCATCCCTACCTTGATAGGAGTACTGATAAGGACAAGGCTACATCATTTTGACAACAGCTTTTTTGTTCCACTCCACAAAAGCACCCAGACTTAGTACTCAGCCTTGCTGACAAAGTCTTGACTCCTGCTCAACAAATTAAGTTATAATGTAAGATCTCTTGGCTAGCAAAATAGGTATACAAACTTCTACAAAACTGTTATTTCAGCATTAAATCCACAGTACTATTTTCTCAGCACGAGGGACTCTGCAGGGAACTATGAAGCCTCCTAACCAGACAGGGATCAAAATCCCCCCCATACTCCCAAATTAAAAGCTGCCAAAATTTCATTCCAAACTGAATTCACCCTTCCTCATAGCCCCACATCACACTGTGGGATAACAGGTAATGTCCATAGGTGCTCACTTCTGCCACAGACCTCAGCTCAAGCCAAATAGGGTGGCAGGGACTTCTGGAGCAGCAGCATAATCTTCTCCAGGGTAGCACAAGTAATTAGCACAAGTAACGGTGTATTCTGAGGACTAAAAACCTCTGGCCAGGTCAGATGAGCACCACAAACCTACCCCACTCCTCAGTGATCATCTTGCTGGCCCATATTTGCTCTTCTCTCCTAAGGATGGTAAACACATACAGTGGCTGCCTGGTTTCATTCAGTTCATCTTCTCTTCCAACTCCCTGCTGCAGGAATGGCTGTTGCAGTATTTTCTAAGCTTTCTGAAAATAAAAACCAGCCATTCTTGTGCTTAAAATAGACTAGAGAGCCCAGCTGATTTATCCTTGCCATGTAGGATCTAGGAGGTGGTAAGATTGGAAAACTTGAAAGGGAATAAATTATGAAAGTAGGTACAGTGATTTGTTTTAAATAAGGGTCCTCAGTTCACCCTGGGAAGAATTCTCGGGGCAGATGGGCTCAGTGCTGGGGTCCTCACAAGGTGCTGCAAGGACACAATGCTCCAGCCAGATGTGAACTGCTGCTGAAAGAGCCCTGCCAGCAGCAGCAGCTCCCTGTACATGGAACTAGGCAAAGCTGGCTGGGATCTCCTTACGGCACTGATGCAGTTATAGAGAGCAGCTGCACCATTTGATACCCAAATTTCACTGTTGTTTAACATCTCTTTGTCTTCTCTACTCCCAATGAAACATGGCTGGTTATTATCTTTCGTGTGAAAGACATTTGCTTGTTTTAAGGAGGCATTCAACATTATTACTCTTTCATAGAAGAAACCCTCAATTCTTACATCTCCCACTTTGACCATGTCAAGAAACTTCCCTCACTCACTCTGTCAGCCAGGTCAGCTCCTCTCCTTAAGCACTGCCACACCAAAGCCAGCTGCCAATGAAGAATCCAGCAGCATACCTGTGTAAGGAGTCAATCTCTGCTGAAGTAATTTTGCTTACGGATTCAGATAAGGTCAGAAGAGACCTTCAGCAGTGCAGACATCTGCATTAAGTAAAATAATTCATGTACGAATCACGTAATCACCCATACCTTTCTGGGTGATAAAACACCTACTTAAAGAACATTGCTTCTGAAAATCATCTCTTGCCTACAGAACCTATGAGTAGTAGAGATTAAATGTTATGGAAAATGAGTATGCATAATTTTCACTTTGCTTTGTGCCAGTAAGAGACAGGAAGTGTTTGGACAGAGAAGAAAATTGGGATAGAAACAGTCTGCTCTGCCATTTGTCTGGTCTTTCACACTAACAGAGGAGTGGAAATATATTTATGATTGGGGAATACTGATACAAGATCAGTGTCTGGATTTCTTAAAAGATGATATTCCAAATAGAGGAGTGCACAAGCACCATCCTTCTCTTTTGTTAACGTTTGTTTCCGTTGTCTGACATTTTAGCAAGAAACACAGATGAATGAAGAAAGAATGTCAAGGTTCTCCAGCTCACAGCCCCCTGTTACTCAAGCTATGAGGTTTCCAGCAGGTTGATTTCCCTCTGAGAACACATCATATATTTTCTGTTCCCACTTGCACCGAGTTTCCCCATTGTCTGACATTGTTTGTTTTGCAGGTGCTCAATGATGTTAGCAGCAAACATAAACCCCGATGAGGAGCAGCATGAGCCATGGAGGGACCCACCCCAGAGCCCGCATATGTTGATGTGGACAAGGGACTGACACTAGCATGTTTTGTCTTCCTCTGCCTTTTCTTGATTGTGATGATAATTCGCTGTGCAAAAGTCATCATGGACCCTTACAGTGCTATCCCCACATCCACATGGGAGGAGCAGCACCTGGATGACTGAAGGGGCTTGGCTACACAGAGCCATAAGATGCTGCAATCTAGGAGGACTCTTCCTATCAGGAAAGCAAGCAGGAACGGCCATTTTGAGATATGCAGGATGATGGCAATATATTTAAGAGCCAATAGCTCATATGATTACTGCTCAATACACCAGGACATCAGCAAGCCATTCTGGAAGCACAATAATACTATGCAGCAACCCTCATCTTAATGAAGATGGTCATCACATAACTCAGTAGCACAACATCCTCTAGACTTTTCCTACAGCTGTAGCACAGTTTGCCCTCTCAGCGTCTCCCGCAAATTCAGGGCTTTAGTCAGAAATTGCAATTTGATAAAGCAATAAGAATGTCTTCCCTGAATACAAGATTGCTTCAAATACCTTTCCGAGTCATTATATTTGTGCTCGGGAGAAAGGCAAAGTTTTGCAGTTGTGTCTTCCCAGGTAATGTTAGGTAGAATCATAAAATCATCAGGGCAGGAAAGACCAACAAGTCCAGTCGTCAGCCCAGGAGAAGGAACACTAAAGCACCATGGCTATCAGCAAATTTATTCTCAATGAATTAAGTAGTGTCCATATGCTTCCCTACCACAGTGCAGTCATATTTTTAGTGATCAATATACAGAAGCACTCAAACTGCAGTTTCCAAGGGGGCTGTGGGCTACTGTTGACTCTGCAGCACAGCCTTTCTCTATCCTACTCATGGATAACTAGATATATTGACATCTGCCATAGGTCCATCAATCAGCCAGATCTCTTGCAATGAGCTTGGTAGCCACAGTTCACGGATCAGAGCTTGGACACCACTGGCTTCAACTACAAAGATCTTGCAACGTTTATCAAAGGCTGACTCCACACAAAACTTCATTAATCTCTTCTTTCAGAGACAGTTCAGTGGGGTCACACATAGATGTTACAGACAATAAGCAAAGACACTCCTAGCTTTGTCAGTCGAATTTGTTAGCCCAAGTTACAGTAGCAAGAACATGCATTCTACCTCGAGCAAAGTACCTTTTAAAAAAAACTTTTCCTCCATGTTTTTGTTGATTATCCATGTATTTCCTTTACTCAATGCATTAAGAATGCCATTACGAAAGAAGCGAAAAAGGGAACTCTGGAATTATATTATTTACATTTTGAAGAGTGGTAATCAAAGGTTTCCCACATCCTCCATTTCTTAAGTTCTAAGGTTTGCCCGTAGCTGCCTTGAGTGACTACACATATGGCTTAAGGGATTGTAAAGAGCTGCTGAAGCAATCAGGAGTAGTTACTGCAACCACTGGTGTCATGAATAGACGAGACCTAAGAGCACAGATCTGCAAAAAGGATACTTCATTTTCTCCTTTTCCTCACCATCTTGTTTTCTACATTCTTGCCATAGGACAACATAGAGTGGATAAAAAAAGGTGGAAAAAGAGGCTGGAGCAAGGAACCAGGGCATAATTGTGTAGGCTGGATATAGACTCTGTAGATTGGTATTCTGCACTCTGACAGATTTGTTTGACTATTACACTAGTCCCCTCTTTCTGTCACAGTCTTCAAACATGTAAAATTGGTACAATACAATTAACTTGTCCTGCCCTGTTTCAGCTCTATCACATCACTATACAAGCTCTTGAAGAGCCTTAGATAAAGACATGGAAGTAAGATACTGATTTACAACATCTTTACTTAAAACTAAACAGGAAGGTCTGAATCTCAGTGTGCTCTATGTACTTTTATTGAGATCAGAACATCCTGAATTATTCTGATGGCACCTGATTTTATTGCCCATTGCATGGAGTTCCAAGGAGTACCGACTACAGAAGAGCAGGCTATGAGGTATATGGAAACTTCGCATGCACCTTTTGCCCTAGGCTCAACTGCACAATTTCAGCTAATCTCTGTTGTAGGAGAGCCCATTCAGAAGGGAGATTTGAGGATCAGCTTTAATCCTGCTCTTCTTTACCGAGAGATCTCCACTGCTTCAATTATCCACTGCAGATTGCTCACCAGCCTGCTGTTCAGCTTCAGGTTCTGTTAGCTAATTAACCACTAGTAATGGAAGTTTTTTAAGTGTGAATGTTAAAGTCCAACACTCTTTGAGCAAATATGTTGGTCTCATTCATGTGCGTGCCTATCTATAACACAGGAACCAATACCCCAGCTCAAAGGGCATGGCTTCCATTCCACTGACATTTAGAGCCTGGTTTTTTTAGTCATTAAGTTCCATATCCCATTTTGATACCAGTGGGGCTACAGAATATACAAAGCAAGAAGTAGTAAAATAACTATTTCCAGCCTACAGAGACTTCTGTATTTCAGGTTACCTGACTATATTCAGAACTGACACAGCAAGAAAAGTGCTTGTCACTACTCCTGGTGCCAATAGTCCTCTCAAGGAGAATATGCATGCGTTGGCTTTGCTGCACACCACCAGTAAGCTCCTGTTCAGCTAAGGATTTATGCATATTCTGAAGTTTAAGACCTGCACTCCCAGGGAGCAGGGTCAGCCCTGTGCTGTGCCTTTGGCTGGGCATGGACAGCAGCACACAGCCCTCAGGGGAAGGAAGCGCATATGAGAGCAAAGGATTATGAATGCTGGGGAAGCAAATAGGTTCACCTCAAAAGAATATTTGTGGTTATCTTCCCCCACTCTCCCCTTTCATCTATACAAAGCATTTTAAGATCTTATTTTACTTTCTGTTTGCAAAAAGCCTCCCCTACATCAAACCTTTTCCTATGACTACCTAAACACTGGTGGGGTTGTTTTTTGTACTTCTAATGTATATATGTATATTCTAATTTCTGCCTTCCACCAACGGTTACCAACACAGCCTCACCACTTTAACTAAAAGCAATACCAAACACCATGCTGAAAGCAGAAGCTTCACCTTGCTTGCATTCTGGCCACCCAGGACATGTTTGTTACTCCATCTCCTGGGAGTCTGGTTGGCAGAACCACGTTCCTGGGCAGTGGAAGTTTGGTAGGGGCTGCATCGCTCAGCACTAATTGCAGCTGCATGTAACAAGTGCCTCTGCCAGTTCTGTTGTTTTTAATCATTATGCCATACTACCGGCACTTGCACTCAGAGGAAATAATGCAAACTTACTGCAGATGTATTTACTTAATGCAATAAACAGCTTCAACATGGAAAGAAATTGTGTGTGTTGCAGTTCACTACTCACCAGGATCCAATGCAGGCACAGATTGCAACAAGCCACTCCCTACACCAGAAGCAGCAGATGGAGTTACCATGCTGCTCTCAGAGCAGCTCCTGAATGGATAAAAGCTCCATGCACAAGCATAAATCCAAGCCCTGGCCACCCTTTCCTCCTGACCCCACTGGCCCAGCCTTGCCGGCCATTACACCAATCTCTATGGCTGCCTTCTGGTTCTGCACAGCCCAGATGAACTGATCTAAATAGAGGATACCAAATCCCCAATTTTAACCATGCCTTAGCATGGCCATGGGAATACCTTATTGCTATCTGTATTATTCTACATGTTCACTTTTCCTTTTTAAACTCCTTTCATTAAAAGCAGTCGATACCCTCTGGCCACTGCTCCTTTTCGTAACCCAGGAGGAAAACACTGATCACAGATGTGTTTTTAAGGCCATGCACAGTTTAAGACTTCTAGTTGCATTTACTCTCAGGGTTCATCTCAGTGCACAACAGCATTATGAAGCGTTGAGTGATGTGCTTAATTACAAAGCTCCCTGTTTTGTACTGCAACTTGTCCAGGGAGAAATCAAAAATCAAACAAAAAGTATTAAAACTGCATTAAGTGTGCTGAATCCATAAGGAAAAGGAAGGGTGTTAAAACAAGTTTATAACTCAAATAAGCTTTTCAAGCAGCAGCCATCTACAGACCAATCCCAGCACAGGGCTGTACCTTCAGCATGTCCCTCACGTACAGCCAAACGCATCCAGAGCTTTCAATCAACTTTAGAGCCCAGAAATTATCTCTCTTTCTCACACAGCAGTGACAGCGTGGGCACCTTGAGCGAAGGCAGCAATCCTGAGCTGAGAAGTGGCCTCTTAGAAAGAAAGTGGATGCAAATATCAGCTACTAACAACATCCCTTCTAACAAAGTCACTGCCTTAACCCCAAACATCTTCTGAAAGAGCATTTCCCCCACCCAGGGAAGGAGCCTATCATCACACCACCCCAAAACCCCTCTGGGGTGGGTTTACCTTTCCTCCAGGCCTCTGAAAATCCACAGGGGAATTTTTTCTTCTCCACTTGAGTGACAATCTCAGTGCTGTGACAAAGTAGAGGAGCTCTGGTTTTAAAGCTTTACTTCATTCATTGTTGTTGGAAACTGCTATACAATACACTTAACAAAAGCAGACTTGAATTAAAAGCAATAAAATCCAGAAGCAAAGAGCTCCACCTTCAAATCCAATGGCAATAGAAGCTTCCAGACTTGGAGAGGAAGCTTTTTGTAGGGAGGGTCAAACCACTTTAAATGGCCCTTTAGAAATAAACTCCTCCCAGCACCAGGTGCAAGTATTGATCCAAGATGTAAGCATTGTAAGCACGAAACCAAGGGCCCCAGGTTGAAGCACCCTCCTGCTCCACCCACCTGTTTCCCCCTTGTGGGTGCCCTCCCTCAAAGGGGAGATGCCTCCAACACCATGAGCCCGTGTCTTTATCCTGCAGGTGAAAAAAAATTCACCTTGGCCATAAAAATAATTTCTTTCCTTTTTTAGCATCTGCTGGACTTTTGGCCTCTGGCCATGCAGCAGGCGGTCCGTGTCTCTGAGCTCTGTCCTGAGCAAAGCTTTGGACTTCCTCCAGCCCACATCCAAAATCTGCTCAGAGAGCTGTGTGAGTTCTGGGAAGGAAAACATCAATTTCTGGAAGCCTGGGATTTCTCAGATTTAATCAAGTTAAGGAAGCACCTGGGGGCTATGGGAACACCCTGTCACCTCCTGCCTGTCCCCACCATTCCACAGAGGTTTTTGACCAGGAACTGGGATTTGTATCCCTGAGATGGAAGATGTAGCTGCACTGCCTTTGCACAATGGTTTTAATGCTTTCCAACAAATATTCCTGTACCCAAAAAGCACTGATGCTGCAGTCCTTCCTGGCTGCAAAATGACTTGCATCAAGGTCAAAACCCACGAATAGCAATGTACTGCCCTGACACCTCCATCAGCTCTTGTCAATAGAGATTGTTCCCGGGTTTTTCAGAAAAACAGCCTTCCTTCCAGCATACAAAACCCCTCCGTGCTTCCATGGGATGGTGGCATCATGGCAAGATGAAATATGGGGCTGCCACAGCTTTAGCATCAAGGATCACACAAGTTACTTCCAAATCCAAGAGGGAATATGGCAGCTTGTGGTTGTCCTTCAAGGTCATTTGCCATCTAAGTCAGAGTGCATTAAAATAAGT